TGCCACAGAGAGCATTTGTATAGAATTTGGCAAAATAAAATCAGCCAAAAATGCAGAACAAAGATATAAAGGGGTGCACTCTCTCTCACACACACGCCCCCCCCCCCACACACACACACACACACACACTCGTGCCCCCTCAAAAATAATGAGTGCATGGCGCCCCTGACCACAGATATACCTATACCTAAACATTTCTATGATATCCACGCATTTGTACGTACAGTAAGTTACTGAACTCGCACTGTATGATGTTACAGGTTTCTTTCACACAACAGGGCCTTTGCGAGTCCTGAACATGTACGAGTGTGTGAGTGTGTGTTTGTTTCTAGAATATTGCTGTCACTGCTGCAAACTCCCATATATACAAATACTTATTCGAAAAATGTAATTTACGTGCAGCTAGGCCCCTCTTCCGTGTAGGCCCCTGGATTCAGGCCGTTAAAGCCTGTGTTAATGCACCCCTGCATGTACCTTATGTGACATGTCTGTTTAGGCGCAAATGATATTGATATTACAGCTAGGAAACGTTATAACGAACTTACCGTAACATGTGAAGGTATTTTCTGGTTTTGAATCCTGTGAGATGGCGTCTAGTCCAACTGTGTTATTTAATTCTGTTTCTGTTCTGTTGAGCTAATGAATGCAATGGCCAATCAGAGGCGTTCAGAAGAGTCATGGCTGAAACGCCGCTGTTTTATCACTGCGCGCTCGATGACTGAATTCTCTGGCGAAATCTTTCATCAGAAACAATGAAGTGCAGATGTGCGTACGAATGTAAGTAAGATATTCATTCATTTCACACTGTACACAGCTTAAGTAATTATAATGGGAGTTTTTGAGAGTGCTTGAACTCTGGCTAAACTAAATGAAAATGTTCTTTGATAATGTAAATGTTCGTTCTTCTTCTGGTACTGTTTAATGTCGGTTGACAAGCCAACTGATGGTGTATTACTGCCGCCAACTGAACTGGAGTGTGAAGCATCAATAGAATGGAAGGAGAAGGTATTTCTCTTTGTATTTTGGACTGCCCTACATCACAGTTTAATAGCTGTGTTAGATTAAAATGGGTTAAACCGAGATCTCTCAATTTCTTAACCAACTCCTCTCTCGCTTTAGTAAATACTGCACAATGTAGTAGTACATGCTCAATTGTTTCGACTTCACCACAGGGCATACACAATGTGTATTGTTTGATATGTGATGTTTTTTAAACCAGAATGTCCATTCATAGTCGTGAAAAAGGCTAATTGTGTCTTTTTTTTTGTTGAAACATATTCTTCCTTTGCCTACTTCTTTTTGTTGTTTCCCTGTCCCACATTTCCTGCCACTTTATATTCATGATGAGTGCTTTGATTTTTCCTTTTATCTCTGCTTTACCCACTGGAATTTGAACTTTAATATTCATATGTTTTATTGCCTGTTTAAACTACTTCATTACCCTTTACTCCTACATGTGCAGCTACTTTATGAGACTAACAGGTGAGTTCCACTAAAAACAAACAGTGCCACACCAAATTAGACTGAATGTGATTATGTTGAACTCTGCATGTACCGCAATGAACTAATAGTGACTAGGAGGGACACTTAAAATAAAAGTTATAGATTATTTCAAAATAAATAGTACAAATTATCAGATAAATTAGGGCAATGTGGGACACATAATCACTGAAGCTATTATAACAAAACATTCACGAGTTCATGGGCCTGCTGTGATGAGAAATAAAGGACAGTTGTCAAAACAACGTGTGATGTCTGTGATGTTATAGAGGGGACGTTAAAAAGTCTGGATGGGAGAAAGGTCCAGAAAAAAAATCATGGCAAAGTTCAGCACTCTTAAAAAATGAGGGGAAATAATTAAAGTGAAGTGAAACACATTTAAAGATATTAATGTAACAATTTGAGGGTGTGTTTACTGTCTCCCTTGTTATTGCAATCTTTACCACTGGGGGACACTCTGGAGTTTTTTTTTTTTAGCTCAATACAAAATATGCATTTATTTTGTTTGCAGTAATGCTGAGGATTTATCAGTTTGGCATGTGGTTGTTATTTGTTTTGTGTTTGCTGACAGAAGGGTTACTTCTTATGTATCATTCTGCAGTGAGGTGAAATAGGAAATTGATCTTTTGATCATTAGATCCTCATTGTGAAACCAAAAATTACAGTATTGGACATTTCTGAATTATAATTTGGACTGTAATTTTTGTACTGTGTACTGCTGCTGCTAAATAAATAAATACATGCATACATACATACATACATAAATGTAGACACATGTATGACTTTAATGAACCCTATACATCTCTAAATGATTTCATTGTCTTATGAGAAGAGCACAGATGATTTAACGTCTTTCTATGTTCAGATTCTTCACAATTTCATGTTTTGTGTTCCACTACAAAGGGGGGAAAAAATAGGTTTGGAACAACACGATGGTGTAAATCAGTGGTTCCCAACCCTGGTCCTGGAGGCACCCCAACACTGCATGTTTTGCATGGCTCCTTTCTCTGACACACCAATTTCAGGTCTTGGAGTCTCTACTAATGAGCCGATGACCTGAATCAGGTGTGTTTGATTAAGGAGACATGCAAAACATGCAGTGTTGGGGTGCCTCCAGGACCAGGGTTGGGAACCACTGGTGTAAATAAAGTTACTGAAATGCTTAAAGTTACTTAAAGTTGCTGAAATGCTCTTATTCGTGTTTTCCACTAGATGGCGCCACGTTGCTTAGTTATAGGAGTCAGTACTTCAGCCAGTCATATAGCCATGATAAAACCACTGATGAGTGTAGCAGATTTCAACACAAAAGCTTTGGGCTGTGCCTCTGCTTCAAGAGTTTTGTTAGCCACATGAATATATATGAGACCTAATCAAATTACCCCCTGAATATACAGTGTGGATGCAGATATAAACATCTCTCAGGTAATCTTCATCCTATAGTGACTGCATAAATATCCACTTTTCAACTCTGGTTTACACTCTCTGTGAATTATCTGCACAGAAAAACTAATAAGTTATGATAAGGAAGTCATCTCTTATGGCATCTGTGAGTTCACTTGTGCTCAAATTTGTTGTTCTGCATGTCGCTCATCTCCATATAGCAATGAGAGCTGCAGACTGATTTACAAGTACAAGTGTCATTTCCATAAACTCTTCAGCTAAATGATGCTTGTATTGTTGTGTATCTGAACACGGAGTTTGACAGAAAGTACATCACTATGGCTAGTAATAGTAGTTGTGACTAGTAAAACAGGGCACAGTTGCATTGACAGTGGGATACAGATGATTACATATGACATGACTGACGTGAAGAGCAGATAATTGAGGAAGACTGCCCCTGACACGCAGTATGACCCTGGTCTCCAGACAAACCTCCAGAAGCTATTGATATTAATTTGTGGATGTTTAATGAGTGTTGTGCCGAGAGGAGAATGATGCTGTAGTCTGTATATGTCTGATCTGTCTTGAGGATGTAGTTCAGGTCGTCAGATGCTTGTAAGCATCACCTCTGCACTGTCGTCCTGTTACAGAAACACAATTACCCTTTTACCTCCAAAATAGTGCTGTTACTACTTCTCAGCCACAGGATCTGTGAAGCTCTCTGAAGAGGCATAGTGAGACATTGCTTCAAGTACTTGAAGTGTTGAATTAATTGATTAATTTATTACAATGAAAGTGATCTAGTTTTAGCCTACTATATAGTTTATAGAGTTGGTATTGATTTGAAATCTATATTTTCACCCTTGAGCTTTGACGTGACTTGCTCCTGGTTCAGAATTAGCAGGAGGCTGATGTGATGAAAAGTCTATTTCAGAAGCTAAAGTATATTTCTTTTTCTTTTTCACAAGGGCACATCAATATACATAGCTGGTAAAAACAAATGCAGTGTGGATGTTTGCTTTATAGGCCATCTCTTACTGTTTAAGTGGGCGGTTCTTGACGAGAAGAAGCCGCAACGTTGACCAGACCTTTTGTCGTTTAGTCAAAGGTCTGGCTGCCCAAGAGGTTTTGGATCAGAGCTGTGATGTTGTTCATGGCTCTGTGTTTAAGGGCTGTAAAAGCATTATTATTTGAGCCTCGATTTAATCCAGAGACTTAGGGTCCCTTGTGTTTGTCTTTGGCTTTTCTATGCCCACTCTTGTTTTCCTGAGTTTGTAGGATCGATGTTGCTGTTGTTCCACTGAGGATTTCCGAGCTGGCTGCTTTCATTTGGTGACATTTCCCTCAGTGCCCCCTTTTTAACAGAGGGTGAGCCCCTTCTAAAATGCTAAAAGTGCCGCCATCAATCTTCCCACCTCAGACAAGTGTCAGGCCTGTAGTTAGCCTTGAAGTCTTCTCCCGTTTGTTGGCCACAATCCACAGAGTTTAATTGAAAATTCTTCCCATGCCTTGACACTTGAATAACAAAGAGGGCATACGTTTTACCCTAACTGCTATTCAGACACATTTCAATTATCCAAGTTTCAATTGTAATCATGGACTGTGCCATTCAAAAAGCTTGCAGCAGTTACCTGCAGACCTCCATTACTGCCAGCTGAAGATTATAGAGCTTAGCAATAGTATAAGCTGGTAAAATCATGATTTTATGAAAGAGATCCTATTACAATTCATAGAGGCGTACTATACAGTATGTCATAATTTCAACAGTAACAGACAATGCTACAGTAAAAACCTGTTAATTGGTTAATGGTAAGTTCCTTTACTGTATGGTTAAAAACTGTGATACATCTAATGGGACATTTCACATAATTTTACATTAAAATACAGTTAAATAAAAAAAAAAAATGTTGTAAAACACCCCCTTTAACTTGTCCGTTGATCCCAGGCAGAACATTTTATTTTGTTGTTTATTTATTATTATTATTGTTATTATTATTATTATTATTATTATTATTTGCCTCAAAATTATTCACATTTTGTATATTTGTATATAAAATCGGAACATTGTATGTAAAATTCACTTTAAAGAAGATCAGGATTTTTGGTAACACTTTATTTTAAGGTGTCCTTGTTACACATGTTACATGTACTTACTATTATAATAATAGTAAATTATGCATAACTACATGCAAGTAACCCTAAGCCAAACCCTAATCCTAATCCTAACTATATAGTGAGTACATGATAATTAATATTACTCAGTACTTAAATGAATAATTACACTGTGACAAGGACACCTTAAAATAAAGTGTAACCGGATTTTTTAATTTGTTCATGGCGACAATTCATGAAAAATATGTCATGGTTAAGTGGAAGATTGTGCCACCTAGTGATAAATAAACACTTTTAAAATGAAAATGACATGATATTACAACTATAACCAGAAGATGGCTGCAGAGGATCACTCATCTGCTCATTTTGCCATTTCTACTCCCTAATATATTAAAGCAATAAGCCCCAAGAAGCCATGGTTTACAGTAAATTTATAACAGCTAAGTGGCGTTGTTAGGCACGGCGCAAAGCGGAGTGCCTAAAACCCCCTTAGCTGTTATAAATTCACTGTAAACCACAGCTTCACGGGGCTTTGCTTTTATAAAATGGTTATTCCATATACGTAGTAAGGTTTCACAAAACAAAACAGAGCAAATAAAGTGTAATG